GCTTCAGTACTATTCACTACATTCTCAGCACAGAGTAACCTGAAAGGATCATTTTCCGGTGGCTTTAAGCACAGCATTGTCAGGGAGTTCAACAGCCAAGCGACAGACGAGTTAGGAGCCCCCCAGGGTCCTTCCATCCACCTCTCTCCCAGTTGCTTTGTCCTACAGACACCGAATAGGTGAGCCTTTGTCCTGACCCCCTCACATCTGCTGACCCACCCAGCCCCCAATGGGCTTCCTCATGTGCAATGACAATGTGCTTCAGAGAACTGATACAGCCATATCTTAGTTACCTCTGTTTTATGTCTGTATATATGTCAGGTTTGCACTTGCCGCAGGCAAAGCGTTGAAAAACACCCAAATTATGCTTTTGTGGGTTATTATGAGGCACATCAATGAGAGTCCTCTAAATTTAACTTTGAAGGTATGGTTTACTGAAAAAAATTCTAAACATTTGTTTAAGATACTGTATTTTTCATTGTGATTATTGCGGGAGTAGTGTTACTTTTCTGTGTTTACTCTTCTTCTTAAATTGTGTTTTAAAAGCTTTCTTTGCTTGATTTTAAACATTCAGTTAATTTGTGGAAATTATGCATTATAAATTAAATTCACTTAGAATAGCCATGCTAGAAAACAAATTCTTGCTTCCAACTCATTAAATATTGACACTTGGTCAAGAATCAATTCAAACATTAAATCAATGACAAGTTGGGGGCGCCCTATCCTGACTTAATTTAGGCAAAACAGGTGTAGGCATGATTACTGCGTTTCACCAAAGTTTCACTAATGCAAGAGAGGGTCAAGCAATAAGTGATATCCAGTGCATAAGAGGCTGTGCAGCTGATCATGGAGTTCAAGGAGAAATCAAGATGGAATCTGCCCTCTACTTGTAATCGCACACATGATCAGTAGTAGAAGCCTGTCAAGATTTCAAATTTCTAATTTAAAAAAGGGAAATACTGTTGCAACCAACAGAACTAGGAGAGGGGGATGTCAGAGTGTTTCTGATAAATTAAATGTGTGAGTAAATAGAAATTAGTTTAAGAGACATATGGAAATCAAATGGCTTTAATCAGTGTCATTTTTGACAAAATTTTACATAAATGTTAGCCCTAGCCTTTTGCCGAAAGTATAATTGATTTTCTTCTTTTAATTCATATTTATTAAAACAAAAATCTTGCATTTCCAAAAAAAAGGACAAAATTTTGCAGTCAATGAAATGTACACTTTCTTCCACAATTAACTTTATTAGTAACATCAGCAGTGATGTACTCAGCTGGCAACAGGTGTAAACCAATTACACAACCTTATTCAACATTTTAAGCTCTGACTAATCACACTGTCTCTAGTTCATCAAGGCAAAGAAAAGATTTAGGCACTTACACTTTTCAAATTTAACTATATCTGTATGAACACATCTAATGGTATAAATTGAATTGCAGCTGCAAAATAAATAAATAAATAAATAAAACAAAAAACAGGATGACCATTCTCTGAATTTACACTACTTGCAGAGAAATGTCTGGGTAAGAGTTACTGTAGAGCAAGTTGAGCTGTTCTTTGGGTCCAATTAAGGCAGTCAAGTAAATTAACCCTTCTCTAAAGACGTGCTAACATTCATGCAGATAAGTATCAGGGAAGACAAAAGGTTGATGTTCATCCCTGAAAAAAACAGGTTATTGTGCTCTACCTAAAATTCAGGTCCCTCATCCAGAACCTGCCCTATAAAGGGACAGACCATATCTGACACACCTGTGTTTGAGGGTGCCTTTTATAAGCTAGGTTCTTTTCACAAAGTGAATAAGAAAAATATTCTGATATTTTAATTGTATAATTGTAGTTGTATAATTCTATAGATGTAATGTATATAATTGTATATAATTCTATAGATGTTTGGTTAAGTAAAAAATGCTTATACATAATTGTTGGGAATACATTTTGTGATATGTATCCGATAATTTGTAATTTTTGTTCACATGCATTTGGTTCAAATGGTGCTAATACCCTCTGTGTTATTTATGGTGCCCCACAGTGCTGGATTTAACAAAGACATAATTTCAATGAAAGTTCAATCCATAAGCCGCTATATGATTACAAACAGCCCTTTCGACGTGTTTTTTTTATTTTCACAACGCTGGTTGGAAGTGCAAAATAGCTTAGCCACATCGCTTCCAGCGGGCGGATGGTCTTCTGAGGGATCTCCTCCCAGACCTGGACTAAAGCATCTGCCAACTCCTGGATAGTCTGTGCCACAATGTAATGTTAGTCCATGGTTGATAGATCAAGAAATGATCTTCCATATCAAATTAAGGTCTGGGGAACGGGAAGACCAGTCCGTAGCTTCAGTGCCTTCATCCTGTAGGAACTGCTAACCCACTCCAGCCACATGAGGTCTAGCATTGTTCTGCATTAGGAGGAACTCAGGGACAACTGCACCAGCATATGGTCTCACAAGGGTTCTGAGGATCTCATCTCGGTAGAAGAAATATCAGCTGTGCTGCTGCCAATACAACTTTGTTTATAGATGTTGGAGATCTGCCTGTTTTGCCAGTGTAGTCCTGTTTCTCTGACTGTGACTGGCTGGGTGTGCTCTCTTCATCCTCTGACATGGGAGTTGGCTCAGAGCTCGTCTGCCTGACTGTGTGTTTTCCTGAACGGGGCCTCCTTTTACAGTTGTTTTTTTGTATCTCTGGTTCTGTCTCCTTGAACCCCAGTCGGCCTCGGCAGATGGCTGCTCACACTGAGCTTGGTTCTACTGGAGGTTTCTTCCTCTTAAAAGGGAGTTTTTTTCTCTCCACTGTCGCTACAAGCATGCTTAGTGTGAGGGATTGCATTCCAATCAATGAGTCGATGCAATCAACTGGTTTTCTTTAGATAGAAAACTTAAAGTCAATCTGACTGTATGATCTGGTGAACTGTAAAGTGTCTTGAGATGACATGTGTTGTAAATTAGCGCTATATAAATAAACTGAATTGAATTGAATTGGTATCTCCTGTAAGGTCAGTCATGGTACTTATGGTGAGCACATGGAAGGTTGCGTGTGGCCCTCCAAAGAAATGCCATCCGACATCATTACTGCCAAACTGGTCATTCTGAAGGATGTTCCAGGCAACAGATCGCTCTCCACAGTCTCCAGACTCTGTCATGTCTGTCACATGGCTTAATATGAACCTGCTTTCATCATGAAAGAGCACAGGACACCAGTGGCGAATTTTTCCCGGTGTTCTCTGGCAAAAAAGTACCATCAATATTCAAAAGTGATCAAAACATTGGCCAGAAAGAATATGTGCTGAGAAGTAATCTGTGATCCCAACCTGCAGAATCACTCTTTTATTGAGTGTTTATTGCTAATTACCAATAATTTCCACCAGTTGTCTATTCTATTTGGATAATAGCATGTGCCACTGATTGTCAATCAATGTTGATTCCTAAGTGTACAGTTCGCTTTTACAGATGTTTGATTTGATTGAAGTCATATTGTGTCCTATATGTGCTCCCTTTATTTATTTGAGCAATTTAGATATCTGCATTGGTATCAAAACATCAGAGCATCTTTAACCAAAAATTCCCAGTTTACTGTATAATGCTGCAAAGTGATATGTAGGCTTTAATTAAAACCATGAAACTTCAAGTTTAAAAGAAACCATTACAGACCTATGTAACCCTCTTTGAAATGGTCACGGGTTGTGTTGTTTTGAATTCATGCATTTATTTTAAGTGTTCAACATTTAATGTGTTAAAGTTGTAATAAATAAGTTAAAACCGTTGTTTATGCAGAACAGTATATCTTAAAAATATGAATAAATCTAATGTTTGGTTAAAAAACGTTTGTTAGAAAGAATCTTCACATCTTGTTTTATTTTGAAATGTCTCGTGTTGCATAAAGGAAGTAGTGTAGAGCAGAAGGATTTTACTGGTTTCTCATTGGTCCATATACAGGAAGTGGGAGGTGCAACAGGGAGACAGGAAGTGGCAGGAGAGTGTTGTAGCTTGACCACGGAGAAAAAACGTGCCGAAGTTTGCTAAAAAACGGAGTTTTGTTGATGTTTGTGGACTTTCAACTCGACAGTCATTTTAAAATATCAGCTCTACATCGTTGTCTGCAACTACTAGTATTGTTTCAACCCGAAATTTGCTGTATAGTAGCTGTGAGTATTGTTTCAGTGCTCGCTAATGCATTAGCATTCACCAGCAAAGTGAATGCATTTTCAGTACTGGGAGCTAGCTCAGCTAACAGAGACTCTAGTAAAGTTTCCGGCGTGGAAGCTGGGAGAGTCAAGCACTGTGCAGAGAGGTGAGCAATACTGATTTCTATGGATCTGATTCGGAGGACTGCATCTTCACTGGACTTTTCTGCTGCATGCTGAGTTGCTGGGGACCGAGAGACTGGTGAAGAGTGATCAACATCCTGCATCCATCTTCCTTTATCAGCCGGGACCAAAGGACAGGTTCATTACCAGACGGATCCAAACTTTTGGGAGAGGTACCACACTCCAACTGTTCCACATCATATCAGGCCTGCAACGGGGGAATTTTGGTTTATTTTTAACTTTATGCCGGCTTAGATGTGAGTTAGGAAGTGTGGGCCCACATATTTTAATTAAGTTGGACAATTGAAACTGAAACTTTATTACAGAGAGAAATTTATTTTTATTTTATTTTTTGAAAACATCTCAATTGTTTGTTTGTTTGTTTTGCTCAATATAAGTTCAAAGTTCATAAAGTGTTGTGAGTTGTTTGGTTATTTCAAATCATTAGATAAGAAATAAGCAGATTTAAGACTGGATTATAACCCTGATTCTGATTTCCTTAGGTTGTGTTTAAAGTTGTTACTGTCCTCAGAGGTAAGTCAAACTCAAGTCAAAAAAGTAAATAGAGTTTAAGGGGTTTTTTACGAACTCAGGGGCCCTTACCTACTTCAATGGGGTATAGGTGGGCTACACCTAGATATAGTACTTCTATGATATTTCTCTCCATGTTGTGCATCAGCAGACCTTACCTGAAGAGCAGTAAGAATGTTGGGAAGTGCTTGACCATAGGTGTCATGGCAGTGAACTGCAAGAGATTTAATTGGCACATCTTTCATCACCTTCTGCAGCATCTTGAACATGGAGCCAGGTGTACCAACGCCAATAGTATCTCCCAACGAAATCTCATAACAACCCATTTCATATAACCCTTTTGCTACCTAAAGAAGGAAAAAATTGTGTTAATGTCTTTTTACAATGAGATAATTGCACTGAAAAATCAGTGATTCAACGAGCAATATGTAAAGTATGTTTTAGTTCATTTTCAGTCTGTAGTTTCAAAATACCTAAAGGAGCTACATACTAGGGTTACTAAATGTATATTCAATAAATACTCCAGCAACAAGATGTGACATGCTAACATACAAGTAGGTAGTTTAAAGTAGCAGCGTTTATCTCATAAATGGATTTCATTAGACAAGTATATGTGAAAGAAAATAATAATGTAAATACAGTTTTACCTCAGCAACCTTTGAGGGATCAATGTTTCCCTCATAGGGGCACCCGAGGGCACAAGAAACGTATCTGAAATAGAGAAAAAAAGTTATTAGTAGTACTTATTAGTACTTATTTAAGCCTAAACTGTCTAAAATACTACAATTGAGGTAAGAAAACATGTTTTCTTTTTCTTTTTTTCTTTTGGTTTCAAAGACAGCTGTCTTTGCTGGGAGACACTCTAGGCCAATTTGGACTTGTGAGTTTGGGATAATTCAAAATAATCTGGCTACCATATGGAATTATGCTCTCTGGTTTGTTTTTTCTTCTTTGAAAAAATAGTGTTTTTGACCATTGTAAATTCATGGCATTACAGGGATAGTGAGATCCTTAATTTGTCTTTGTGGTAACTGATATAAAATATTTGGATTACAAACCCACGAACAGGGATTTGTCGATCTTTGGCAGCACTAATGACCTCCTCAAACCGCAACATGCTTTCAGCAATGGAACAGTTGATATTTTTTCTGCTGAAGGTTTCAGATGCAGAGCCGAACACAGCTACTTCAGTGGCACCAGCTGAAACCTTGAACAGCAAAGAACATGACTTTGAAAAGACTGTTTGAGTAATATTTTTATAGAGGCAAAAAAAAGATTTAATGACACATTGATTGCATAAACTCCATTTTATCAATTACTGGCACAAATCACCAAATTAAACTTACAGCATCCTGAAAACCTTGCATGTTTGGAGTCAAAACAGGGTATCTAACATGAGGTGCTCTCTGGATTCCTCTGAGGACATCTGTGTGGTCTGCCATCTAATTTTAGGCACAAAAAGATTTAAAGTATGATTAGCTTTTATAGCCAGAGTGGCACATCTTCTGATTGATATGCAAGTATCATAATCAACAGATTTTACGTTTCAAAATAATTAAACTGGTGCAAATTATTTTTTGTAAACAAATGTGGTAAATTTATTTCTTGGAATAAGAGGACAGGCAGACCCAAAATGTATGAAAACAATCAGTTGATTAAACCATAGAAACGCATTTCCCTTCATGTGTAAGCAAATAAAAACATATCTTGGCAGGAAAAAAAAGTATCTGATAAATCACCTTACATTTTGCTGTTGTACACAATAAAAAAGGGCAATTACCTGCGGTACCCACTTTGAAGAGACAAAGCTTGTGGCCTCAATCACAGAAAGGCCTGTTGTTGAAAGCATGTCGATCAGCTGGATTTTTACCCTTGTTGGTACATTTTCCTGGGAAATAATACAACTGAAAATGGTTACACATGGCTTTATTTTTTTATGTACTGTATATAAGAATTTTTTATTTTCTGGAGAAGTCGCCATGTGTAGTAAACAGTGATACTCATATACATAGGAGGTTTCTCATAGAGATGTCAAAGTACACCTTTTCATTTTGAAGTCCATCCCTTGGACCAACTTCAACAATTTTCACAAAGTCTGGATACTCATGTTCGGTAATGATCTGTAGAAAATGGAAATAAGACAAAAGCTTAGTGCAATAATAAGACATGTATCAATTCATCCAATGTGCCTTAGGGCATTTCAACCTAGACAGACAAAAGGAGAAAATAAGCAATTAGAAAGATTGTATCGACATGAATGAAAATAAATTCTTTGGTGCTCAGACCCCGGCTGAAAACATGCTGCATGTCATCATGAGCCTGGATGAATGATTTAAAAAGAGGGTAAGAGTGGTCTTTTCCCTGGGGCAAGGACGCGAGTGCTGGAATGAGCCAGAGGATGAGAGGGTCTAAGAGTGAGGAGATAAGGTGGAGATGGGTCAAAGTACGGCAGAGGTGCTGAATGGGGAAGCTGGCCCTTTGTCTCGATGAAGAGCGTCTTGAGAAAAAAGTGACTTGGGAGAAGAGGCGGTCTTTCCTTGATTGGTTGAAGCTTGAGTGAGTCAGCAGGGGTTCCACGTTAGGCTCGTTAAGAGTCTTCCGGGTTGAATTTTCACTTAAGCTTTAATATCTGAGACCAAATGAAATCCAACAGACTGAATATGGGCTTCATTTAAAAGAAAATATGGATATTTAAAAAAAAAAAAAAAAAAAAAAATATATATATATATATATATATATATATTTTTTTTTTTTGAGAAATATGTCTGGTTACTAATGAATATGATGGATTTTATCTAAAAAAAAAAAGTAGAGAAGTACATCAAACTAAGATATAGGTCTGTTAAAAAAAAAGTTACAATGGTAGCAACAGGGTTCATTTAATTTAATTAGAAAAACTTTTTTTTTTAAAAGCAATCTAATTTTGTTTGCTGTGTTAGATAAAACATTTACAGGTTGTTGCCACAAAACCTACAAAATGAAAGGAAGAATTTAACTTTCATTCCTTTTTTAAAGAAAAATATTGGAATAAGGAAATATTACAGCATGATTAGATTTTAATTTTGGAAATAACCAAATATCAATATTGCTGAAGAAAATTAAGCTATCAGCTTATCATTAATTTTCAAGTAACCAACACTCTGACGTTGGACTGAAACTCCTTCATGCTATCGAGGATTATATGTATGATTTCTAAAGGATTTCACCATGGGTTTTTTTCTGACAAGTCAATGCCAGCATGAGATGCGTTCCTTTACCACAAAGGACTTTGACAAACTTTTACAGAATTTGGCTGTTTCGGAGATGAAATCTATTGACTGGAAGTGATCATAGAGGTTAATACTGGGTAAAATGGTAATAAACTCTGTCTGTGATCCACAATATTGATAGCAAATTAAATCTAAAGGATAAGATGAGGCATAGCGAGGATTTAGCTCTGCCTGTGAACCCAAAGAGCGTCAAACAGTTGGATGCTTTTTATGTCTGATCTTATATCAAATGTGTGATAGACTGAATGATTTAAAGAAATCCTCTTACTAACCAGATTTACATCCAGGAGTAACTTGTAGTATACACTTGACTTGTGATAACAACTATCCTGCATTCTGAAACCAAAAATCCAGGATATGCAGGGATTTTCCCATGAACTTCTTTTAAGTTCTCACTTATCTTGCAAGTTTCTCACCATTGGGAGTTTGATCTATTTAAGTAACTTAGAGATCGCTGTTCTGACACAATTTTCTTTTTTTTCCATACTAAAATATATAGCAGCTTTTAACAAATTTGCTTACAGATAGGGTTGAACTTTCAAAAATGTTATCAGATTCTTAAGATTCTGTTTATTGTATGTTTTATTAGAGAAAATACTTGTATTCGCAATCTTGTCCTTTTGGTCATTACCCAGGTCGCATTACAATAAGTTAGGGGGGGACGTAGATCGTTCTATAAATCAAGTGCATTTCCCCCTGACTCAGCTCCCCCTTTACCACAACAGTCTGACACTGCAACCGCCTAAAATGTGCTCATTACTACCAGGACAGAAACCTGAAATCTAAACAGAAACCCTGGTTGAATGCTAAGTTTAGGGCTTTGCTGAAAGCTAGGCATGCTGTATTCAGGACAGGTGAGGCATCAGATCTCTGAGAGACAATAAAAAGGCTGAGTGCAAGCATTGCAGCAAAGCCACATATCGCCTGAAAATTCAGGGTCACTTCATCACCAATGACCTGTTGCCTATTTAAAACGCTTTTAATGGATCACAGGTTGCAACATCAGAGATGCAAAATGCTCAAGGGAGCACCTCATTGCTAGATGCACTCAACATGTTCTATGTCTGCTTTGTGGATCCCACCACCCATCTGCACCAGACTGATATTTTTACGTGGTACAGTAACTCACTGTTTGACCACAGCAGACATGAGGAAGAACCTTCATAGAATTAATGTAGGCTGCATGTACTGTAAGGCTGCAGGCCTGGACAACATCCCAGGGTGGGTTCCAAGAGACGGTGAATTCGCTGGCAGTCACCTTTAACAACTCACTGTCACCGACATGCTTTAAGTTTGCCGCTGTTGTAGCTGTCCTGAAATGCTCCACAGTTACAGGCCTCAATGACTATTAAATGATAGTCTTGACATCAGTAGCCGTAAAGTGTTTGGAAAAGATAGTAATGACCCAGATTAATGACTCCATCAATCTCACTGTGGACCCATATCAGTACATTTACAGAAGGAACCAATCCAGCACTGACGCCATCTCATTTGTGGTCCACACAACCCTTACCCACATGGGGGGCAGAAATTCTTAAATCCGCCTGCTCTTCCTGGATTTCTACTCTGCCTTCAAATCATCTTCCCATAAACCTTGATGCAGAAGCTCTTCACTCTTGGACTTGGTCTCCAACACGGAGAACTGAGTCCTAATAAACCTCCGACCTTGAGGATACCCAACACCATCTCTCCTCCATCACCCTCAGCACCTGCTCGCTCCAGGGCCAGATGCTGAGCCCCCTTATGTTCCCTCTGCTAAAATGTGATTGCTCTGCAAGACACCCCAGCTGTCAAGTATTGAAGTTTGCTGACAACACAGCAGTAGTGAAAAGTGCAAACAATGATAAGTCCAAATACATAGAGCTTGAACACCTGGTGCAGTGTTGCAGAGGCAATAACCTCTGCATCAACAGGGTTAATATACAGTGATGAGTTGCTGCTTCATGCCTATCCGTAATGAAAAAGTTACATTGCAAGTTATTTGTAGCACATTAAATAGATAAATAACAATACCTACCTTCTCTTCCTCTAGCCAGCTTTTCAACCAAGGGTAGTCCTCGATAATTTGCTTATAGCTCAAGCAGTGCTTTACTGTAGTAGGTACGTTACCCATTAGAATGACTGCAGCTCACCTCTTCAGGAAAAACAAAACAAAACATACAGCAGTAAATTTGCTACGCTACAACTGTGTTCTAATTCAGGCCTATATGCTTCATGAGGAAATGACATTAGAGGGAGGATGGAGACTGGGTGAACAGTGACTCAGCAGTTGTCATGGCAACCACATCTCTGGCAGGGAAAGAAAAGTGCAAGGGAGGGAGGATGTCTGGTATGAGAGATTAGCTTAGTTGAAAAATCAAACAGCTACAAAATCTTTGGACAATAAGGAAAATTGAAAGAAGAAAAATACAAAAGACACTAAAGACAAAAACAAAATAAGAAAAAACAGAGTGAGAGAAATTGGTATACTGTAGAGAATACAAAAAAATACCTTTTAGAATCATTTATAATAATATCTTTTGAAATACAAAAGAAAATTTCAAAATATTTTGGTAATCCAAAAAGAAACAAAACCAAAAACAGGATCAAAGAAATTCTAAAGATTTCCATTTCAAAGCATTGAATACAAGTCGACTTATTTACACCCGATTTGTGTTTATGTTAAATTAACAAGATGAGAGCCACTCTGTTCCCTGTTCTACTTGCAGCTAAAGACTTCAGGGAAAAAGCCAGCTTAGATTGATCTCATGTGACCTAAATCACTGAAGGCTTTCATTGCCAGACTTGCCATTGCTGCCAATGTCAACTGCATGGTGTAATAAAATCCCTTTTTAAAGAAGGTCAGCATATACCAAAGAAAGGGTCTTTCTAAACACAGATGTTAACAATAGAGAGGCTTAATGAAGCCCTTGCAATGAACCATCTCGGCACACTAAACTGCGCTCTGATGAGAGACCTGTTCCTTTTCTCTCATGGGGAGGAGGGAAATTCATGGAATCAGTTTTAATAAAGGAGTGGTTTTAAAGGCGATATATGTTGCCAAACCCTAAATGTTAAAATCCTTTCTGACTTCTGTTAATAATTACTTATCAAGTCTCCGATTGGGTGCTGAAAAAAGTTCAACTTAAAGTTTGTTTGCTGCATGTTGGATCTAAACATATTTTCTCATGTTGCTAAATTTTATGTGTTTAGTGTAATATCTATGCAACAGTGCTTTGCATATTCACTTGATATTACGTGGTTTACCTTTTGACAAAATAAATCTGTTTATATTGTTAGTCAATTTCAGACTATGGCTAACGTTTTCTTAAGATTTGCAATATTTTTTGACCGACAACTTACTTGTTTAGCATCATTTTCTCTGTTATGCTACAACAGATTTAGTTGACATCAATCTGGTTCCCATGTGATGTCAAAAGATATGCTGCTGGGTGTATCTTTGATTTGTAGTTTCCTTTCTAATATGATTAATTTGTACTTAGAAAGGGAAGCAGCATTTTAGTTGACTCCATCCATCCATCTATCTTCTTCAACTTATTCCATCAGGGTCACAGATTGCCAGTCTGTTGCAGGGCAACACAGAGACACATGAAAACATACAACCATGCACAGAAACTTACACCTAAGGACAATTTTAGAGAAGCCAATTAACCCAACGTTCATGTTTCTTGACAGTGGGAGGTAGCCGGAGTACCCGGAAAGAACCCCTCTCATGCACAGGGAGAACATACAAACTCCATGCAAAAAGACCCAAGGCTGGGTATTGAAGCCCAAACCTTCTTGCTGCTGAGCAACAATACTTCCCTTTGCCCCCACCGCGCAGCTGTGCGGGTTTCACTGGAACTTATGGAACACTGTGGAATGCTGTGGAAACTGTGGAACACTGGATTAGCTCTACACCCTCTGCAGAGGGCTCAAGAGTTAATGGGAGATCACACAACCGGTCAACATGTTTTTTTATTGACTTGGAAAAGGCATTTGTATCCCTTGTAATACTCTATGCGGGGCATGCCAGAAGTATGGATTGGGGGCCCTTTACTAGGGATAATCACATCATATATACAACTGCTGGTATTAACTTGAACCTGTTCCCATTGCATGTTAGTCTCCAGCAGGGCAGCCTTCTGTCATCAGTCCTGTTCTAACCTTTACGGACAGAATTTCTAGGTGTAGCCATGGAGCAGTAGGGATCTATTTGGGGGACTAGTGGATTTCGTCCCTGTTTTCTGTGGATGATATGGTTGGATCCCTCTTAAATCGACTCCATGAACCAACTCCTCCAAATCTGAGATCCTGGTTTTTGAATGGATTTATTTTCAGATGGAGTTTTCTGCTATGGAATAGCAGAAAACTGTTTAAAAGGAATTAAACTGGGGGAAAATAAAGATAATTGCAGTGAGATAAAAATAAATGGGCTTATAAGAAGTGAAACGAATTCAGTCAAATTGGATTAAAATAATTCAAAATAATTCAGTGCCATGTAACTTTGATGGCACAAAACTTAAAGGTATTGTAAAGGATTTTCATGAATTTTTTAGACTAACCCTCTCCACTTAAAAAAAAATGTACATGAACAACCCTGTACCCACTCCCAAGAGAGAACGCCTATTAAATGCATTCAAAAGCGTGCACAAGCACATTTCTTCTGTGCATGCTCTGCTTAAAAGTTGCTGTTCTCAAACCTCATACAAGCTTACCGTGTCCGAATGTCTGCCCTAACCCCTATATCCCTCAATCACTATATAGAGCAGGGACTATATAGTGAACTTTATAGTAAACTCAGTTACGAAACTGAGTGTTTGGATGGATCACTACTCTTTGCTCCCCGTTGGTAGTGTTACTCCTTCACCGGGCGAAAACTGTTGCTCACCACAGATGTACGCCTGAAAGTGCGCATGCCCATAAAAAGATAGCTAACGGAATTAACATGTAGGACAGCCCTATGTAAACATAACACCAGAATGATTGACAATGAGGAGAACCGCTATTTTAGATGATCCACCCGGAAATAAAAGACCGTCCTCTCTTTAAATAACATTTTATTATGATTGATAACGGAATGAACAAATAAATGAATTAATATGGAACAGAAATTGACTCCATTTGAACTAATCCAAACAAACTGATTTATAAAGGTAGACCCTTTTACTACTCTGTTCATCCAGAACTAGAACCAAACATTTGAATTGAGAAAGCTTCCTGGAGAGGTGGCGAAACGTCTTCAAATCTTGAAAACCAAGTCCAGTGGATTTTTTGAATTTTTACGGAATGACTATGACCTGGATGACTGAGAACCTTCATCAGCATACAACCAAACATGGAGAAGCAACATTTAGTTCTTTTGCTCCACTTATCTTGAACAAACTTCCAGAAGGCTTTAAGAGTGCTGAAAGCCTGAGTTCTCATAAGTCAAAGTTAAAAACCCATTTGTTTAAAGCTGCCTTTGACTATTTAAATTAAACTCTTAACTGAGGTATTAGTTTAAGTTTGTGGTCTGACGGCTTTGTTTGTTTTACTTGCCTTTATTATGCTTTTAATCTTCATGAGCTTTTATTTTGCTTTTATTTTTCTTCTATTTTATTGTTTAATTCATGTACAGCAATTTGAAATGTCTTTGTCTTGAGTGGTGCTATACAAATAAACTTGACTTGTCGAAATCGTATTGAATTAAACTTAAATGCAGTGAGAATTGGAGAAATAAAATAAGTTCATTTATTTTTTTCTCTAGGGACTGGGAGAACATCTTAATAATAATTATTATTATAATTATAATTTAAGAAACAATTGCACCATAAGAGTAAAAGACTAAACTAAAACTAAACAGGCAATCACATGAACTGCGATGGTATATAGGTTTTTTGAGGGGTTGAATTCTAAAGCTTTTATGAAAAGTACCATTCCCCAACTTTTTCTACATTTTTTATAAACTAAAAGAAAGCTATAATTTTTAACAGAGTCCATCAAGAAAGAATTTAGAAAAGTAAACATGTCAGTTTCTAAAAATATCGGAAGTATTGCTGAATCCCCTGGGCCATTGGGAGAAATATTTGGACACTTTAGGGAAAATATATAGCTTTCCAAATGTCACTCTTTCGTGAAAACAACTTAATAAATCACTTAAGTAGCATGTAAGATTTTCTTATTTCAGTGAAACTAAGTAATAGTGATTTATTGTGACAGAACCTGGCTGCTGAAGGTCACTTTAAAGAAATGGCCTTCAGGCCTTTTCCAGAATAAATCTAATGCAGGTGAGTACACTATTATGCTGACATGTGAACTAAAAACAATTTGCCACTTTACGAAGCATAGTTCTGGGAAACAGATAATATGACTTCTAAAAGTCTATTTTGTTAGATTACTTGAAATTAGAATTTAGGTAACTTGTTCTCTAAACTTTTCCATAAATAGTATTAATGTCATTTTTAAAAGATATTAATGTTTTTAAAAAAAACACGCAAACAAAGAAATAACAACGTTAAAAAGATATCCTTACTGTAGGTTTCGCTACGGTATAAGAAAGAAACAGATGTGAGAAATTACTTTATGAAGTGCAGATTTTGGCATAGCAATAAAGATGTTTTAAGGTCTGATATGTACTGAAAATGTAGAGGCAGCCAGATTAGAGCATTTTTCATCTCCCATATGTTTTCGTTTCCACCACTATTGATATACATAACTATAACCGCATGTGAGTCCTAGTGTCGAGTGAATTGCCCATCATTATCATCCTAAAAGAAGTTATTTTGACCCTTTCTCTGGAAAAGATGAAAAGATTTGTTTTAACTAGTTCGCTTTTCACTCAAACAGAAACTAGTACATATAAATACATATTATAAGAAAAGTAACATGTTTTCAGATAAGTATGTACGTTACGTTTTCAGTTATTCACCAGATATAAATTACCATATATAAAAAACGCTAGATGGAATAAATAAATAAAAGAAAAGATTAACACATTAATCTAATGGCTATAAACAAAAAGGAGATTTTGATACTGCTGCAGCTCTGAACCAGCCTTCCAAAGCTCCCCTTAGAAACAGCAGTAAAGATTATTATTGTTGTAATCATATAGTATAGAGCATCCCGGTTACTGATTGATGCAATAGCTGTTTCCATATGAGGGTACTTTAGAAAGGAGCCCTATATCACTATCTCCTGCTTTGCAAGCGCATGTACTGTAAGAATAATGTTATAGGTCTCATTAAGTAACAACAGTTTTTCTCGGCTGTTGATGTTTAGCCTGCAACAACAAGTAGTCACATACTTTGTTTTTCAAGCAAAAAAACTTCTACCACTTTTAAACTTTATAGCAGAGGACTTTACTTCTAGATCCACCTGTAACCAAGTTATCGGCCTTTGTGGAGTAAGTTTATTTTAACTGAAAAATTAACAGCTTTATGCGTGAACTTGGTCAAATCCTAGCTGTTGACATTTTTCGTCCTTCTTTAAGATAAGTTTAAAA